ACTTCCCCCATCTTAAACACCTTATATTAGTTACCACAGTACCTAGTGCTGAGAGTGATATTTAATTTACAGAGCACCACATAGTGGTCGCTTCCTATATTAGATAACATTAGGCTTCTCACAACCAATATTATTATGTTTGTCGTATATTGCTTCTACTAGTGTTTGTAGCTCGTCATAAAAATCTCCTTTATCCTTTTCGGTTTTGCAGTCTTCTGGTGCATAGATTCCTATTATGTTTATAATTTTTCTGTTAGTTGTCATCTTTATCATAATAATCCTTTGAGATATGTACCGACAATCTTTTATTTTGTCTTTATATTTAGTTTTTACCATTATTGCTACACCTTCTTTCTTGGTATCCCACTATATATTTGTAAGTATTCCCCTACTACTTGTCCCCCGCCTTTTTTTGTTTCTTGCAGAGCACAGAAGTCTATTTGATGTTCTTTCAACTTTTTCTCTATTTCCTGATCTTTATTATTTAGGGTTTTTACATTCTATTTGGTCACTCCCATATTTTTTCCAGTATTTATTTAGGTCCAGTTCGTTGCAGTACTAAATGATTTGGTGGAGTGTGCCTAATTTTTATTCATTAGTGACATTCTCTCCACCAATCCCAAGCTAGTCTTAATGTCGTTAATAATTTTTAGAATTTCTGACGCGAGGCTTCCACGGTCTGAATTTACGTTGTGGTTATAAATTCCATAAAGGCCGTACTGTAACGTTACTCAGTTATTAAAAAGTATGTAAGTTGAGCCCTCACCCAGACTACCTGATGCGACTGATGATTAGAGGCAATTAAAAGAAAATCGAAGCATTGAGACTTGAATAATACAGAAAAGATGGACTTCATTTCCACCACGGTTTAAAACTATTAAATAACCAACACGGTTAACTTTTTAAATTTGGACACCCTACAACTTCCAATAATATTCAAACCTCAGACGAAGGATACCTCTTGGAGAAGGTCAACTTTGAATTGAACCATGGTGTATAATATTATTTAAAAATCCCCATAAAGGAACTTTTTTTTACGTTTGGCCATCAGCTGTTCGGGATTTGGGACTACTGTCCGGCGACCCTTCAATCGTGAACAGTGAACATTATCTGATGTTGGCTCCGTTTATCCAAATAACTTTTTCATTCACATTTTATCAATTTACTAAAATGCTGACTATACCTAAATTACAAGGCAGTGAATAAAGATCAATTACTTTGTCTTCTAATGCATCTATTTTAATTACAAAGAAAGGAGTGATCATAGAGACAAATTCTACAAAATTAACACTAATTTTGTGTTTATATTCAACAAGACGTATATCAAAGATATTGTTTTGGTTACATCAAAACAATCTCATTGCAGGTCTCATTGTGTTCTAAAAGCAACGAGGATTTTGTTAGTTTCTGAGCAAGACTGAATAAGATAATTGGATGTTGTTTTATTTTCTTTAATCGTTATTTACCGTCTGGAAGCTTAGTTGAATGTACTGTAACACAAAGGTCACGTTATTTCTAGGATAATAATCCCGGATTATTCTGAGAATAGATTCCCTTGAAGCAAAATTAATTATCTTGCAAATGCCATTTGTACCTATGTCAGGCAAAAATGTGCAAAAACGACACCGTGTCGAACAAAGAGGGAAAGGTGTTGTTTAATTTGTTATTGATTATGTTGTAAAATTGAGGTTTTTGTAGAAGTAGAAATTCCATCCGAAGGACGAGACGCATAGGTACTTAGGTGTTGTGAGTTGTAATTTACTGCGGGCAGGATTCATCCTATTACATCACAAACGCATTTATCATACTATTGGTTTCGTTACGTGTCCGTCCTACCTTCCTTCCGTTTGGGGGTTCCGGCGGTTTTTCTTTCAATGTTTTGGTAATGGGAATTTGATAGGTGACCGCTGACAGAATGATAAAGAAGTAGGATCGAAAGGAACAGTAGGGAAGAAAGTTTTAAAAAGGCGGAGCAGACGAAAACGAGGCTGTTTATTGAAGGGCAACCAGTCTTGGTGGTTGTAAAGGTCTTGTAGAAGAAAGGTTAGATGGTGGTATAGAGATATTAATTCGTCGTTATAAAAGTCAAGTTCAAGCTTTGTTTCAAGTATACGAAGAAGTTGCGTATTGTGTCTATCGAGTAGTAATCGCATAAGTGGGGCATTTGTTTAAGGTTCCTCCAAGTACCCGATGAAGTAATCCACCACCAAAAATTACAACAAAGAATCAAGTGAAAGTAAAGAAATGAAGTTTCCGAAGCAATATCAGTTGGTGCGTATGTTTTTAAGGCGTCTGTCAAAGAAAATCGCAATTATGACCGGATGTTAGGATATTAATTAGAGTTTCCTTTTAAATTTAATTTGTTTCAATAGAACGCAAGTGCGCGGTACCCTGAGTGTCTTTCTTTCGTACAGCATTATTAATTGATTTTTTAAATTTGTGTCGTGTGTAAATGATCAGCCCTTAATGGTTAATATCGCAGTCGAGTTTCCACGCCATTTCATTAAAATTACAAATTGCAATCGGTGGTCCGCTTTGAAATGAAATCAAGAGTGGAAAACTTGGCTGCTTCATTTGTACAGTTTTATTGTTATGGTAGAAGATGAGCCAATGCTCTACGAGTACTTATATATAATATGTGGGCTACAGTTAGAATTTAAACACGCTATTCATATTTTCATGTTGATTAGGCTACTATCATTATGGTTACTCGTCACTCTCAGTCGGAATTTTATAAAAAAAAGAACATCTGAGCTAGCTTTACATACGATTGATCTCCCGAAGCCGGAATTTACTGGAGCAAACTAAATTTAAAATGTATGCGTAAAGCATTCCAGCTAGATTCATATACCTACCGAAGCTAGGAAAGCGCTGGAATCCTTCAATTCTTGGTACCCACTTCAATCGTGTAATTTAAATTAACTCAAGCATATACGGTGATAAGTCGAGTAAAAAATTTGTGGCGCATTTTTCCGTATGTAGAATTTCTACATCATTAACGCTAATGTGTAGCATTCGACTTTATTTCTAGAATTCTAACCTTATAAAAATTTTCTCTGTGCAATACAATTTACCTTAACTTCTCAAGAGTTTCAGCTTTTATTGGATTTAAATCAAACTACGAACATAAATGTATTCAAAGCTTATAAGGATTAGTACCTACAGTATGTAACATTCTACTCATGCAGAAAAAGAGAGTATTGAAATGAATATTAGAATTTCTGAAAATAATCATAATCCTTTTCTAAAACAGCAACATCTAACTGAGGAATTTTATAACACATACTACAGGATGTTTCTAATTAAAATGTCTATGTTAGAAATTCTATATTTTCTTACAAACATGACTTCGTAACTTTGTTTGGACTAGCTGTCATTAACAAATTTGACTTTGCACATGGGAAGTACGGGATCATGGGTCGCACACATGTAAAGTGGGCATTGAAATCCCCGGATCTCTCTGCCTGTATACACTGTTTCCAAGATAAGGATGTCTATAATGAGGATCTCAGAAACCATAGAAAATACGATGATGGTCAAGTGACGGAAAAGTAGCGTAATAATTGTCGTACTGTAAATAAAACCAGAAAATCCCGATTACTTCCAAAGATATACCAGAAAAACTGAAATTTTGTTATTATTTTTTCCTATTGTTATTTGAGCAGTTACAGAAAAATAAGAAACACTTCCTTATTGCCATTTTTTGAGCTCGACAAGACAACGTTGTGGATTTTTAATATAAACGTCTCGTTTCGGAGAAATCATCATCAATTTTATTACTTCATAAATCAAAGCCTATCTCGCAAGTAAGCGAAACAAGTATTCAGTTCTTAGAGCCGACCACTGCATCGGAAGTTGAGACCATGGACGTGGAAACGCGAGGGTCAAAGCGTAGGATGTCATTAGCTAGGACAAGGTCCTCCAGCATCACCTCTGTCGATTCGCAGACAGTGCAGGAGGCCAAACAACAAAAGAAAAAGAGAGGTTGGCCAAAAGGCAAGCCCAGAATGCCTCGTAAAACGGCAGGTGATCCGCAAATTTTTAGTCAGTAAATTTAATCTGTGATTACATCTATGATATGTTTTCTTGTCTTTGTCTATCATGTGAAACTGTTAATTGTTTGTAATAGTCCCATATACACTGTAATTTTTTATTTTATTTACATGTTAAATTATTCAACTGTGTTTGTTTCTACTTACTTTTAAAATGGATACAACAAAAATTATCCAATGGAACTGTCGGGGACTATCTAACAATTTCAACGAACTGAAACTCTTAATTCAAAAGTATACCCCATTGTGTATTGCTCTTCAAGAGACGCACCTGAAACCGAGATCAAAATACAATATAAAAAATTTCAGTCTGGTAAGGAAAGATTTTTACTCACCTGAAAGAGCCTGTGGAGGAGTGGCTTTTCTCATTCGAAAAGGCACACCATATAAAAGGGTTGTATTAAATACAACTTACCAAGCTGTAGCAGTACAACTTGAAATTGTTAAAACTTTTACACTTTGTAACATCTACGTTCCTAATACAGCATATGAAGTAGAACAAATTAGACAAATTATAAATCAGCTCCCAACACCCTTTGTTCTTGTCGGAGATTTCAATTCCCACAACATTGTTTGGGGCTCTACCTCAAATGATGCCCGAGGCAAAGAGTTATTGGAACTCATAGAAAACGATAACTTAAGTATCTTGAATAACGGTTCGGCCACGTTTTTCAACGTGAGATCCGGAACATTCGACGCAATTGATCTTTCTATATGTTCTCCAAATATATACTGTAATTTTGAATGGGAGGTGGAAACTGATCTCCATCACAGCGATCATTTTCCCATAATCATTTCTGTTAGAGGCAAAAATCCCACGATAAGATCAGTGGCTAGATTTAAGATCCCACAAGCAGATTGGGAACTTTTTGCAAGTAAGTTCGTCCCTCCAGCCCTAGATAGCTTAAGTTTAAAAACTCTTACATCTGCTATATTAGACGCTGTGAACGCCAGTATTCCAAAATCCAAACCTGGCAATAAAACAAAAATGGTTCCGTGGTGGTCGTCTGAAATAAAAGAAAAAATATCATTAAAAAATCAAGCCTTATATAGATTTAGACGTAATCCTACGTTGGACAATTTAATAATTTTTAAGAAACGTCGTTCGGAGTGTCGCCGAAAAATACTGGAAGCACAGAGGAGCTCCTGGAATCATTACGTGTCCACGATTACACCGGACACTACTAGCAAGGAAGTGTGGAAAAAGGTTGGAGCCGTATCAGGTAAAATTGGTTGCAATAGTCTGGCCTTCTTGCGAGATTCAGAGGGACAAATCACAAATAAACCAGAGGATATATCGGATACCATAGCAACCCAATTTTACCAAGTTAGTAGCTCCAAAAATTATGCGGATACATTTCTTCACACTAAACAACATAAAGAATCCATTCCTATTATTTTTGATACTAACAAAAACTTAAATTATAATACTCCGTTTACCTTAGAAGAGTTGAATATCGCTATCCGTAACACCAAGTCATGTTCACCGGGAGAAGACGAAATCCACAACCAGATGTTTCATCACTGTACTCCTGAAATGCAACAAAGTATTAGATTTCTTTAATATTTGTTGGAATGAACATACTTACCCCTCGGAATGGAAACAGGCCGTTGTCATTCCTATACCGAAACCTGGAAAAGATCCGTTGCTGGCACAAAGTTATCGCCCAATTAGTTTAACGTCTTGCTTGGGAAAACTGCTAGAGAAAATGGTTAATGTGCGGCTGCAAACATTTCTTGAAGATAATAATATATACGTACCTTATCAAACGGGTTTTCGGAAGGGACGGGCAACGGCTGACCATTTGGTCAAATTGACCGATAGAATTCTGAGTGCATTTGACAGTGGTGAACACCTGCTTGCGGTTTTCTTTGATATAAAGGGCGCTTACGACATGACTTGGTGATATGGAATATTGCAGAATATGTATAAATACAATCTTCGAGGGAAGTTACCAAAATTTATACAATCCTTTCTAGAGAACAGAAAGTTTGTTGTAAGAATCGGTGACATCCACTTAAAAGAGTATGTTTTAGAAAATGGTGTGCCGCAGGGGTCAACACTTAGCTGTTCTCTGTTTGGCATCGCCATAAACGAAATAGCTAAAGGTGTTGAGGGGATGATTGATAAATGTTTGTATGTTGATGATTTATTTAATGGTTTGTTGTTCTGGTAAGACGGTCGGTGCAATAACTCGAAGTCTACAAGTGGCCATAAACAAAATCTGTAGTAACGCCAATGCGGTCGGGTTTGTGCTGTCGGAGGAAAAGACAAAGGTTGTCCACTTTTGCCGACTCCGTAGACCGCACTATGATCCTGTGCTACTAATGAATGATCGTGTAATCAGTGTTGTTCAGGAAGTCAAGTTTCTCGGGCTTACCTTTGACCGGGAATTACGGTGGTCAAAGCATTTAAATAATGTTACTGCTACATGTAGAAAATCGCTGAACATCATCAGAGTTCTCGCTCATCATAGGTGGGGAGCTCACCCTAAGACCCTACTGGATATATATAAGGCCCTCATCCTATCAAGGATGGATTATGGATGTGCAGCGTACTCTACGTGTGGCAATAATGCTTTGCTTGGGGAACTTGATAAGATTCAGAACCTGGCTATTCGATATTCTTTGGGAGCATATCCAACAAGTCCAGTTCCATCGCTCTACGTCGAGGCAAATATTCCCCCTCTAGCTCTTCGCCGGAAACAGATTGTTGCAAACTACTATATAAAAGTAAGGTTAGATTATAAACATCCAAATTTTAGATCCCTTACTGATGCGACTACCATTGCTCGTCTATACAGATGTAGATCGTTAGGTGTTAGGGCTAGAGAGGTATTAAACCACCTCCAATTGGAGAATATCGACTTCACGAGTATGTCATCTACTGCACGGCGTGGACTTGTGAAAAGTAAAATCTATGAGCGGTGGAGTGAGCAGTGGTCGGAGTCTGATACGGCTTTGAAAAGGATCAAACCTAGTCTGGATCCGCTATTCTATATCGACGTTAGACGTTTGAACTTGATCAGGCTGTACAGACTCCGTCTGGGGCATACTGCTCTCACTCAGGGGTATTTGTTGGCAGGTGAAGAACGGCCATTATGCGAACAATGTGGTGTTAATTTAACACCACATCACATTATTTCTATTTGTCCGCAGTATATGAATGTATGTACGTGTGATATAAACCCGATATGGGAAAATAACTTTAAAAATGAAGAGCAATGTAAAAATACTCTCGCGTTCATCCAACAAATTGGTATTGCAAACCATCTGTGATATTTTTAAATTTACTCGGATGAGCAACTTCTTGATTTCTCATGAGCATGTAAGGGCTTCATGGATTTCAAACGACAGTCATTGTGATAAACGCCCTCTTCTGCAACGAGGTTCCAAGCTTCTATTTCATTTCTTGTATATAAACGGTTTAAATCATAACTTCTCTACTTATTATCATTTACATATCAAGGGTATAACTTGCAAATTCTACTTGATGTCTGTAACAGGAAAATAGATTAAATAAGATCACGGCAAGATTACGAGAATAGATCGCTTAATTACACCGCCCTACCCAAATCACGGCAGTAAGTAGACGGATTAGGACGCAGCGGGAAAGGGTTTTTATGGGATAATGGTAACGGCGATAAAATTTGATCCATTAATATAATAACGCAATACTTGCGCCAAAAAAATTAAAAAAATTAGCGTTGCGTAACCGGGTGCTTTTTATTTCTAGTAATTTACTGTCACTAATTAACGCACTATATGCGACGTAAATATTTTTGTTTAAATGGGGTCTTTATTGCGAACGTAAACGGCTACCTAGAATTTCATTAAACTTATAAGTCCGATAGATTACCCACGTGAAAACTCCTTCCGTTAAAATAAGTATCTGACTTCAGTCATTGAAAACGGGCGATAGGAAAAAACAGTGGCCCCGTTAAACTGTGCTCAGGCTAAAAAGTTAAGTAATCCCATCGGGCCAACAAAAAACAATCTCAAAAGGTTTGAGGTTTACTTTTTTGCCCTATAGAAACCGTTCAGAGCTAACTAAGCTCATGGTGTATTAAATATGCTGCAATTCGTCGTTTTCAAACTTTTTAACTTAAACTCATTCCGTCAAATTCAATACTCTTAGGGGGTAGGTTTTATAAATTGAATTTATACCGACGCGTATACTTCTGCAAGCTACGCTAATTAGTAGGTAACTGTTTATAGTAAGCCGTTGCAGCTTGTTTGTTTAGAACTACTTATCGGAAAAAGTTTACAGAAAGGTAAATTCCACTATTCCGAGAACTTGATATTTCCGTATACTGTAGTGTATATTTCAAATGAAGTAACTAAACGTCTCATTAGTTTTGAAGAGTGTCTGCGATTGAAGTTTTTTTGTTGTTAAGTCGGAAAGGTAATATCACAGACAACATATACCTGTGGTAATATGATAAGTTTAAGAAAATCTAATTAAAACACAAGGAAACTGACACCGAAACCCTTTCGAATTATCTCGGCAAATGCTTATGGTGTGCATAACTTACTAGGCGTTTATAATTAAAACTACCCTAGTGACGTGGATTGAAAAGTAAAAAGATACATACACTCTATTTGCACCACTTTTTTCACTGCATTTTTACCGCTACTCGATTGTACCAATAGTTGTTTTGTTAGGGCTATATATTACATCCGGGAAATCGACGAGATTATATACTAATAAGGGAGAGATAACGGAAGCAGTGCCGGGAGTCATGGGTAACTAACTGTTCCTGCATAAAACGTGGGATACATAGGGTAGTAATAATGAAAGCCGATAATGAAATATTGGCCCGTATGAATAAAAGTAAGCAAATGCTTATACTTGCAAAATTCAAAGTAAATACTCGTAACTGCCCCTTCATACTGGTCTGTTTAGCATGGTTTAGCAGCGCTGCACTGCGTCCTGTCCTGCTGTTCAGCAGCGCTGGTAAATCGCCCAGTGTGAAGGAGCAATTACGAGTATTTACCTTGAATTTTGCAAGTATAAGCATTTGCTTCCTTTTATTCATATGGGCCAAAGTTTTAATTTTTAATTTAATTTAATCTTTCTATGCCCATGCAAAATAAATAATCCCCATACATCAAAACTTTCACGTTACAATTAAATATAGCGTGTCCACAATATATAAAGCGGACATCAGGGTGGAGGAGAGGAACAGAAAGTCGAGTAAGATAGTAAACCGGGTGGAATTAGGTTAGCGTGACGATGGGGTGCTTCAAAATTGCGATCTTAAGGATGCAGTACGTATTATTTATATTTTATTCATTTATATTATTTTTCATGAAACAGAAGCATTATAAATTTCCAATAATACCAGCTGCGAGTCAATACAGCTATTCATTATGATAGTTACATTAAAAAAAATATTTTAGTTTAGTTAAATTAAGTACGAAATTATTGTTTGTCAGTTGTTGGCTCAAATTCAAATTGCCATATCTTGTCCTTAGGTTGCGTACATTTATCATCGTGGAAATGCGAAAGTTGTACTTCGAAAAAATTTCGCAAGAGAATAACGATAAAAAGATATCTCGAATCGCAAAAAAATTAACGAGTTAAATTCGAGAGAAAATTCATCTCCTAAGATAACCGTTCCTAACCTACTCTCTTTATTTAACAGCGGTTCTATTTAAACGTCTCAAATGAAATTAATGCTGGAGAACAATCGTTGTTTTTGCTGAAAACGTCCATGTTTCTAAATCGGATATTGTCATAAATTATTCTCGCCGTTCCTCCTGCTAGCCATATCCTATCATTAAATATAGTGGTGGTTTATATCTTGAAATCTGGTGTTGTCGCCAGTTACTTTACTTTGCGTGATTTATAATACCTGTGCATTTAAGTGCTGCAGTTTACACACAAATTCCATTTACGCTTCTTAAGAAATAAGAAATATATCTATAAATTGTTTTAAATAGTTTGTGTTTTTTCACGTTTCCGTTTTTAAATAAACGAGTTTTAAACTTTTTACTGCGTATATGCCACCTTCTCGAATGATAAATGAAGAAAATTTTCATAATTAAGTAGTTTCCCAAAGTAACTTTCTGTTCTTAGTTAGGTAACGATTAATATTTCCTAGGAAGGATTGTGTGCTCGTACTTCAAGTACTTTACACCACACTTAATAAAGCTAAAATATCCAGGTGCATTACACAAGAGATCTCCATCTCTGCATTGTATTTCATAGAGATCATATGAATGTGATACATAAATTTAAGTATACCTACCTATCAGGGAAACTATTTGTTTCTGAATTTTGATAGAACTTGTTAGTCAAATTTTATTCTAAAGCTGTCCCATCCTACTCCCACTTTTGTTTCCTGCATGATTCTTATTTTTTCATTTGCGTTGATATTTCGCTTTTTATTTGAGCACCTATTTAATTATTTCTGTTGCACTTAAACATATGGCTGTATTGATTTTTTACGTCTACGACCCGTTGCAGCTCATTTATGAAAGTTTTTTAATAGTACTACTTGCACCCATAATGGTTCTACAGTCTTGTACAGATTTTAGTGACAATGCGGTTCGTTTAGTGGTAGTAATCACAGTCCAAGAAATTTCTCAAGGTATCACTTTTTTCCTATACCTATAGGTATAACCTATAGGGCGATGCGTGAAAATCTCGCAGGCGGTCGAAGTGGAAGTAGGCAACGTCATTTTCTTATTGGACTATATTAATCATAGGCCGAGAAGGGTGGTAAAAAAACAAAATTGGCAGAAGCTTTACAATGATTTATAAGGCTTCTGCTATAAAATAAAGTTTTGTATTATACACGACGATAAAGGCAAACTAACCATCTCGTG